ACAGAAACGTACTATATACGTAGTGTAGTATACACCTCGCGTGTGGTCTACATGAATTTTTACATCTTGTATAGGCTCGACCATATAAGAATCAACATATATTACAATGGAGAACCGACCAGCAGAATTAATTATAGCGCCGTCAACTATGACGAGTCTAAACATGTGAGTCATCATAGATGGCCAGTGGAGAGGATTGGTCTTGTGGTGTTCACCATCACGATTGGCACTAGGGGCATCACTTCACATCGTTGAAGGGGTAACATGCATTCCAAGGTTCCCAGTGTTTAATGAATCTTGTCAGTTCCACTCCAATGGAAGACATAGCCCTTTCATAGTGATAGTGTAAATGTACCATATTGATCACTTGTGAGATAGTAGGCAGATCAGGGGAACGCCAGGTCCTTGTTATATTTAATCTAGCAGCTAGCAAAATATGTGTAACTACTGTCCTACAGTGTGGTGGAATATTCTCAATCCTCAGGTTAAGGAGTGCCAAATCTGGGACTGGTCCCACTTGTCTGTCAACTATGCATGAGATAATTCAAAACTTCGCACTCCAGTATTCCTGGAGGCGCGGGCAAGACCATAGTGTATGCATGAGATAGCTGTCAATTAATTCTGAAGGATCTGTCATACTGATGTCATCAACACAAGCCCAAAGCCTGTCAACACAGGCCCTTACAAAGTTGTCACAGGCATAGCTGTCTTTGTGTCTTCAATGAAGGATTTTCCTTCACCTTCTACTCTGGTGACAACTATTTTGTTTTTATTTGTTTGTTTTTTACCCTCACTTTCTGTCTTGGGGACAATGTTCAATAAGACTATTAGAAGGAAATCTCCCCACTTACACTGACACAGACAGTGACAACAAAAACTCTAACCCTTTCTTACTCTTTCCATACATTTAGCACCCAACAAGTATAGTTGTGAGTTATAAATCTGACCACACAGTTAGATTATGATCTGTCAAATCAACCAAACTATAAGACAGCTATATGGTATCAGTGAGAATCTCTCACTCACACCATAGTTGTTGGCAAATTTTGTTGATGTGAGATACCAACTCTTGGCTGTAAAATGCCAGCCTTACATAATTGATAACCATGAGATAACAGCCATCTGATATGCCCCTTTTTCAGCCACCGGACATATTATACAACCGCCCACCATCAGCTACTTGCCCCTTTCCCTATATTTTCAATAAACAAGAGTGTTCACTTTTTAGTTGTTTGGGAGCATACAGCATGACAGAAGGGTGTGAGCAGACCCTCAAATTTATGGGCACCCGTCAAAGTGCCCACCTTATCTTTTTCGAAAGGTCAAGTCTTGCAGTAAGCCACATATAAATGTTTCCTTGCTTTATTGTCTGAGAGATAGAGATGACAGAACTAACACCTAGCCCTCTTGATAAAAGGAGTCAATGAGCAGAATTAATATAACTGGATGCTATGTAGGTACATAAGTCTTGCCACCTTTTCCACTAAGCCTCGCCTTTTTCTGTACAGCATACAGTGAAAGGATGAATCTACTGCTTGTCCATTTTCCTATTTACATTCAGAATTTCTGCAGGCTTTAAACCTGATACGTAAAAAGTTTACACATGGTAAAATGTATTTTTGCCTCTTGAGTTAGTTTATAATTTGGACTATAAAAATTGCACTTACAACCTGATCGGTTCCTCTCTTCGGTAAGGAATCTTACCCTATCGTTCATACATGTGACATGTAGACTTTAAAACAGCAGAAATTCTGTAGTACACCAAATTTGATTTAAAATAGTGATTCAGTAAAGTTGGCTGTGTTGGTGGTACACATTTATGATGAGATACTCAAGGCAAACTAGACATTTAAGAAAACTAACTGTCCTCTTTATCATAGTTATAATCCACTACTGTAAGTGTATGTATAGCAAAAAACATTTTTTTTTTTAGTTGTGGATGTAGTCAAAAAGAATTAAAATCCATCAGTTTTTTCCTCTAATTGGGGAGATGCAACAATAAGTGAGAAAAAAGTGAGAGAAATCGTCTCTTAGATGGTTGTCACCAAAACAAGTGTCTCCATTGGAAGACGTACCCTCAACCCTTGTTCCGATGACAGCAATATCATTTGGATTTCCCAACACTTTCTGTACACGGGGCAATGGGTTTGATTTAATAAAGGCAAATAGGCAGTTCGCTTTTAAGGGAATTTGTACATTGCAGGGGAAGTTTACCTTGGCTTAGTGAATATGGTGAAATTTCACTTTGGAAAGGATACCCAATAATGTATCAAGGGAAATTTTAAAAAAACAGTATTTTTGCTTGCACATGATTGGATAATGGAGTCAGCAGAGCTTCACTTCATTCACTATGTTAAATTGAAACTTACCCTGCAATGTGCAAATTCCCTTGCAAAGTGAACAGTCTATTTGCTTTTAGTAAATCAACCCCAATGGTCACCAGGACAAACTGAGAGAATGAAACTTCACAAGGGCTCCAATCCTTCCCTACTGCATCCCAAAAAAAGGTGTGATTATACATTCACTTTAAATGTTAGTAGTATGTAATCACACATTCAGTGTCACAGTGATCCATCATTGTTACCTGAAATATTGTACTATTCAACATACAATAACATCAATTGTACAATCCGAGACATTCAATGTCAGAGTGATCCACTGTTTTTGCCTGAAATATTGTACTATTCACCATACAATTCTTTGTTATGTGTTTAGATGAAGGACTGAGATCTTGAGGAATGCTGAATTAAGTTTTACTTGCTTATAAGAACATTGCATCAGAATACAGCATTACTTCCGGTTCCGGCGCCTGATGTAGCGGACACGAAGTGAGGAGCTCCCGCACAGCCAGGACTAACATATATTATAGACAAGTATACATAAACATAGAGACCAACACTGCACCACAGAGCCACCTACAGCTCAGAAGACAATATAACAGCTCTGAATGTCAGTAATACAAAATCAGTGTATGCTGTTGTATTTCCAACACCCCTTCTCAACAGCATATGTGTTGCTATATAAAATTCAGAGATGTACTATTGTCTTTTGAGTTGTAGGAGGCTCTGTGGTGCAGTGTTGGTCTCTATGCTTATGTATACTTGTCTATAATATACAGGAAGCTCTATCTGTCTACATGTTTCATTCTACAATGCTGTATAATGCTGTTTTCTATTGCAATATTCTTATAAGTAAGTAAAACTTAATTCAACATTCTTTAAGATCTCAATGCTTTATCTAAACAGATAACGAACAGGTTATAGGCCCAGGCACTAAACAGAACATTGCAAGTCAACAAGAGCAACATCCAAGCTGCTGAAAGATGGTGAGCAGTTCAGATATAAAGTTTGCAATTGCAAAGCTCAACAATAGCAACTACCAGCTATGGAAGTTCAAGCTTGAAATGCTGCTAAGCAAAGATGACTTGTGGCAAGTACTGAGTACAGACAGACCCACTAATGAACCCGCAGAGAAATGGGACAAGAAGAACAGGAAAGTCAAAGCAATTATAAGTCTGCTACTGGAAGATGACTGCCTCATCCACATAAGAAAAGAAAAGAGAATACAGCTAAAGGTATGTGGACTGCATTACAAAAACTGCATGAGCGTTCAAACCTAAACAGTAAGCAATATCTGCTTTGCAAGCTATATAAGAGGAGGCTAGAAAAAGGCCAGGAAATGCATGAACATGTGAATGGCATGCTGAAAATCGTAGAACTGCTTCTTGCAATTGGAGAGGAAATTAAAGATAACCACCTAGTGGCATTACTGCTATGCAGCTTTCCAGGGTCATACGCTGCTCTTATTAACGCTCTAGAAAACCAGGCCTGAGCAGGAACTAACACTAGAATACACCAAAGGAAAATTAATCGATGAATATGTCAGAAGGAAAGAAAATATGCACAATTAAGGAAATTAGAAAACCCTTAAAGAGAGCACAAAGCAAAACAAAGAAGGCAGATAGTGTTTTCGCTGTAAAAAGACTGGTCACTTAAAAAAGAATTGCACAATTCAGACAAAATATGTGTTCACTGTAAGTATGTGTTCACAATGTAAGTGCTATATAACTTACACAAAAAAACAGTGAACAAAAAGAAAAGAAAATGTGTACCTTTCACTACATGTGCTATATAACATGCAGACATATAATAACGGCCTTTGTTGAGAAAATGTAAACTAAACAATATTTTTTTCCTCTGCGACAAATGCAGGGATTACACGTGCAGTAGTCATACACAGTGTAAACCTTAGTACTATTAAAGATAATTGATCTTGGAAGATGAAAGGTCAGTCCTTCCAAATGTGATATTTTAGTCACAGGTGGGCTCTGATGTGCTGTATACCCGATGGTTTACTGCTCTTGGCGACTTGGAAAAATATATTTTAGAAAGTTCCAAAATGTTTCCTACCAACTTTAGAGCCTCATCTCTCTGCATTTTCACAGATTTCAAAAAGTAAACTAATCAGACAAAGAACTGCCATGATAGGTTTGCACAGCATTCAGATTTAGGGCTAGTATGCTGGGACAATTTTGTTGTACTTCTGTTTGTGAAGCATTTTTATAAAGATGAGGAATGCTGTCTTTCAATTTTATGGCACAGCGTAAACTTGCGTTTCCTGTTGCTTTTGCCATGCACCACATTGCTTTAGGTTCCTCACTTCATGCAAGTTAATCTGAATACATCTTAAGTGCATCCCAATTTAAATGGACCCCAAAATGAAACTCCACTAAGTACTATCACCATCTATATTGGTTACATATCATAGCCTTAATGTAATGTGCTGGTTCCAAGGTTAGTATAAGACAGATATTAGTGGGGGTTGTGAGGTTACATGATTTAGTCAAAATTCAAACTCATACCTCCCGAAATTATGTTTTAATTTGGAGGAGACATTGTTGTGCACACATTTGTTAAACACATCTATGTGGCATTAGAAGCCATGTCTAAGCATTGTTAATGATAATCAGATTCCTAGAAATAGCTACATCACTCACTTACATCGTAGCCACCTGGCTCCAGCATCCGTATCTTTCTCTATGATTGTCCTTCTCTGAGAGTAGCTCCCAAATATATACCAGAGCATCCAGACCAACTGAATGAGCATCAGTGTTATCAGATAGGAGAGGAGATCTCTGTCTGTTATCCCAACTGCATGGATGGCCCATGCGAACATCAGCAAAAGCCCCACCAGGAAGATATTGAAGCCATACTGGCTGCTGAGGATCTCAGCGTTCTTCTGAGGATAGTTGCGAATCAAATTAAAGTGTAATTTCTTTTCTTCCGCCTTCTGTGTTTGATCTGAGGTGGACACTATGTCTAATCTGTGCTCTTCAGCCATCCTTTTCTTTTCTGAAATGCAAGAAGGGAAACAGCTAGAGAAACCAATAAAGAACATCTTGCTGAAGTAGCGAACCTGCTGTTGAATAAAAACAGGGGATGTCATGTATTTCCTGTCTGAAAAAAAAGCTAATTGCTTGGCTGTTCTAACTCATTAGCTTTCTAAACACCTGACCAGCAACAAGTGTGAAAATCAGGAAAGTCAGAGATGTCCTTATCTGTAGACTTTTTCCAGATCAGTTTAGTATAACAGTAAAGAAAGTGTAAGTATGACAGCCAGGCACCTAGTATTGTTTTATCTCACAACAGGTTTCCATCAGAGTTTTTCCAGCCTAAAGTGATATTTCAATAATGGGTAGATTCTGGTGGCCTGCATGACTTGAAGACTACTTATAACTCTTCAGTCTTCCAGTAGCAAGATCCCTCGCAAACATGCCCTTACCAGCCCAAAGTCTCGCCGCTCCTGCTGCATTCTACATAAAACATTAACAGAAACAGTGGACCCTCCCCAGAATTTCCACTGCAGCTGGGCAGACATGTTAACTCACACTTGTGGGTCATAGTCATTTTGTTTTTGTTTATATCAGTCCTCCAGGATCTACCCATAAAATAAATATTACCTTTGGGTGAACTAATGTTTTAAAGGAGAACTATGAGGCGAGTGCTTTTCACTCAGCCTCATAATCTGAGCCGACCTGTGACAATGAAACTGTCACAGGTCGGCTCAGTAGATCGGGAAGTGAGCGAACACATACCGGCGTTCGCTCACTTCTCGATCCTGTCACTGCAGAGAGCCGTGACAAGGGAGTGACTGGATTCTTCCCTCCCCTGTCCGATCCTCCAGCGCTGACTGGCGGAACGGACGGGGAGGGGGCGTGTACAGCTGGCTCTGCCTCTAGATAGGCAGAGCCAGCTGTCACTCACGCAGCTGGGCGGATCCAGACATAATTGTCGGGATCCGTTTCAGCTGCGGCGTCTCAGTATACCGCGAGCTGTAGCTCGCGGTATACTGAGCTTAGGGTAACGGGAGGACGCTAGTTTGTGTCCTCCCGTTACCCTTCGGAGAACTATGGGGAAAAGCCCTAACCCCATAGTTCTCCTTTAAATATATAATTTTAAAACGTATTTGATTACATGTGGATGGCAATAAAATATGTAATTTGCAATAGCAGCTAACCAGATATCAGCTTTTAAAAGTATAGTGTTTTTTAATTAATAGATGCTATTTTTAATTAGTTGCTATAAGCTGCAGCACACCACATTTCTTTGTACTTTAACTTACAAAGGGTAAATCAAGTATAACATAATTACAAGACTATGCCAGGAAAGTTATTGATTAAACATGATGGTTGCAACCAGATACACATTTCCTTATAGACATGCAGCAATTGACTAACTAGATAAAATTACATATTTCTGCAAAGTCATTCCGTGTCTAGAGTAATGTAGCAACGTAATACGAGATTCATAGTGGATGCCACCATGTTGAATAATTATCTGCAGCATCCCTGCGTAGAACAGTGCTGAAGCTCTAACTATAAAGCTTTCTACTACCGTGTAATACACTTAAACCTCCATTTACACCTGAGTGTTTTGTCATGTATTTCCCGAGTAAGACAATGCTCAACATGACAATCCCACTACTATCAATGGTGCCCATTCATACCTAAGCTTGTAGCTTGAAAAATTATATAGTACCATAGTACAAAGCTTTTTGGGGGCAGACTTGTGTGTTTTTGGCCCCCATAGACTTTAAACACTAAACTCAGGAGTTAAACCTTAAAAATGCATTCAAGTACCTTAACTATTAACAAAAATGTATCTTATTTGTGTATCACTCGGCTGTAGATCCTCAAATCATCTTTGAATTGGTGCTTATATTGTCCTTCCTTTTGGAGGGTGGCTACTTTTGCTCCCCATGGTTCCTGTGTGTGTTGTAAAGTAGTCACCACTCCAAGCTCACTCCTGTGATGGACTGCAATTTCAGATTTGGTTTACTAATGTGTATTGAGATTGTAGTCCATCGCGGGAGTGAGCTTGGAGTGGGGACTACTTTACAACACACACAGGGACCATGGGGAACAAAAGTAGCCACCCTCCAAAAGGAAGGACAATATAAGCACCAATTCAAAGATGATTTGAGGATCTACAGCCGAGTGATATACAAATAAGATACATTTGTGTTAATAGTTAAGGTACTTTAATGCATTTTTAAGGTTTAAACCTGGATTTAGTGTCACTTAAGCCCTGGTTCACACCTAGGTGTTTTTGAGCAGTTCGAAAAGCGCTTTTAAATTGCCCAACACAAGAAATCATCTGATGATTTTTAATGGCCCTGGTTCACACCTGAGCAGAAAAACTCCTAGCAGGAAAATGCCAGGCGCCTGAAAAGATACAGGAGCTTCATTGGGCAGTTAAAAGCGCTTTTCCTCCTCATAGACTTAGACTTCATTGGAAATGCCAAAAAACGCGCAACCGAAGCATGTTGCACATTTTCGTGAGCGTTTTAGCACGTTCTTCCAATGCCCACAATGGTTTATGAACTGCCAATCAAAACGCGCGTCTTCATGTAAGCGCGTTAAAATGCGCATAAAAATGTGCACAACACTCAAATAACTGCATGCTGCTAACGTGCGTACAAATGCACAAAAACTGAGCCGCCTAGGTGTGAACCAGGGCTTAATATGCACAATGTGCAATTCTTGCACGATTTCACACTTAACAACAATCTCCTCCTCCTAGTAACCAGCATTCCATTGGCTAAAACAAAAACATTTAAACCTAATAATGCCTTAAAAAAAAGAGCAAACAATGCTCCAATAAAGGTCACTTCAAAATTGTCTGAAACCGCTCACACTCAAGTGTAAATGAATGCTAAATATAATGCATCAAAACATTGAGTTCCCCTACTGATTACTCATCATTGGGGTCATAAATGAAGGACATTTACATTTTTTTTTTTGTATTATTGTTGTCACCGTTATATATTTTTTTCTGTTTACAGCTGCTCACTACACACTTTACTAAAATTTGTAAAAAGACAAATATAAAACAAAAACAAAACTCCATAGAGAAGGAGCATAAGCAATTAAAAGCTTACATTCTAGTCAAATAATAATTTGTGTATAGTACGATTATTAACATAGAAGATTGTACTGGTATACCCTAAAAACAGGCGAGGAAAAACAAATGCTTCAAGCTCCATTCTGTGTTTTGGAACCTTCTTTCAGCTTCTTTGGAACCAGCTTTCAAAGCACGTTCAGTCCTGAGATCCTTCGAATCTTGCAAGAATTGTAATTTAATCTAATAATTATTTCTAATCTATTGTTTTTAGTTGGTTAATTCACATACAGGGATTTTATTCATCACAAGAAAAAAAATATATACTAGTTTATAAAATTGTTGGCATCAAGGTTGTAAAATCTGAGCATTTAAAAAAAAAAGTAGAATGCATTTAAGAATACAAACAGGTAGAAAGCAGTGACTACATCTTACCACATCTATTAGTTCTTCAACAATGACTTCTCTCAGTGCAGAAGAAAGCTCAAGGACTGAGGCTAATTTTCTCAGATGGGATATTTTGTCCCAGGCTCAAGCTTTGATCCCTCTTATAGGGAAGGTTTTGCTGTATACGTCAGAAGGATCCAGCCTGCAAGGTAGATAGAATTTCATCTGTAACACCTTAGTGCAACGTAGACAGCAAAGGTAGTCCTCTAACCCTGTCTCAGCGGTGCTGCCGGACCTCACAGAAAGTCACATTGTGCAAAACCTTCTCACTGTCACACAGGGCACAGATGTAGCACAAGGAGAAGTGCACAGAGGTTATGAAAAAGTCCATCAAAGAAAAACTGACACATGTCAGACAAAATCATAGAGTTATAGATCAAATGGCAGAAATCACTTTTATTTTTTTAATTCATGCTGCTATTGCACAGAAACAAGGATCAACTGGACCATTGAGTTCAATCCTTTTCTTTAACATTTGGGTTTAGGTTTTAAAATGTATTTTCTGTGTTTTTTTCTTCTTTTCCCTTTTTTTTTCTCTTTAAAACTGCATTTAATCTGAACAGTGGGCACTAATATTTGCCTGACCATTGACCATAAATTATTCAAGCTGTCCCTGCCCTGGGTTACTTATAATTAAAGGTCCAATGTAAGTTTCCTGTGCCCTCTTTCTCTATTTAAATTCTATTTAATTTAAAAAAAAAATACATTAAATTAATTTAAAATGACATTAAACTATTAACAAAAATGTATCTTATTTGTGTATCACTCTGCTGTAGATCCTCAAATCATCTCTGAATTCATACTAACTTTTGTTCTTCATGGTTCCTGTGTGTGTTGTAAAGTAGTCACCGCTCTAAGATCGATTGAGGATCTACAGCCGAGTGATAAACAAATAAGATACATTTTTATTAATAATTAAGGTACTTGAATTTATTTTTAAGGTTTAATTCCTGAGTTTGGTGTTACTTTAAGTTAATGCTTGATACCAATGCACCTTTAAAAAATTAAGATGTTAAGACATCCTTCAACCAGTTCAATAGTCAGGAAAAAAATTAAAATAAAATCTATATATATAAAAAAAATTTGCATTACATCATATAAAACAGAGACTCTGGGATTGATTTACTAAAGGCAAACAGGTTGCTCACTTTGCAAGGGAATTTGCACTTAGTAGGGGAAGTTTGCCCTTAGTTTAGTAAATGAGGGGAAACTCTGCTGACTTCCATCACTCAATCATGTTGAAGAAAAAAAAACATATTTTTCAAATTTTCCATGCACATGACTGGGTATTCTTTATAAAGTGAAGTTTCACCTCATTCACTAAGCTAAGAGAAACTTCCCTTGCAAAGTGTAAATTTCCGTGAACAGCATATTTGCCTTTAGTAAATCATCACCTCTGAATCGGCTAGCATCAGGAGAATAGAAAACAGAAATTAGAATAGAAATGTCTACTCTATTGATGCTATAAAGTAGTGATGAGCCGAACACCCCCCG